GTCCCTGGTCCTACGTTGTAGCCGACTGACTGACTGATAGGGTTGTGGAGATTGTTGAATTTTGATTGATATCATGAATGGATCAATGTTAGACTATCACTGAAAACCAGGAAGCATTAAACGTTTTTTTCATCTTAGTGTGAGATTCCTCGGTAGTGCCAGTGGAGTTCAACCATGTGTTTTGTGGAGTAGTTACACACTGAGGACAATGGTGGACGATCGCGCAACTTCGTATATTAATAAAAATCAAGTGTGCTTTAATGAGATGGAACAAAAAATATACTTTATATATATATATCATTATGGTATATAAGAACCAGAAGGTTGATAAAGTTAATAAAATTGAAGCATTACATATTACAAATAGATATCTGAGTAGTTATAGAAAGCTGTGAAGCGATAAATTTTTGCTTTCGTTTCTCATTTTATACATTTTGAAGCTAAACAATAGTCCTTTAGTGATGAAGTAAAATATCCATTTACTGTATAATTTATTTTTGGTGACTTAGTTGCAAAAAGATATGAGATAAGTTTGAGAACTTCCTAAATTTTATATCATTGTTTGCGTTTCAGTACTCTCAATGACCCTAATGAATTCATTTCGAAAAGTTACATGCGTGCAAAGCCTAAATGAAATTCATAACATTTATAATTTGTCTGTGATCATAGAATTTAATTAATGTCCATTATGTATCTTGAAAGTTTTTATGATAAATTCTTTCATGTATGTTTGAGTGTCATTCAGGTTTGTTTAATTAGTGTCTACTCACCTCTTGAAACTGTTTCATATTGGTCGTAGTCAGTCATACAGCTTTAGTAATGGCCTTTGCATCGTTTGTTAAGTACGAAGCTGTTTTGTTCTCTTTTTGATTCAAACGAATCAACCAATTTAGCCTTACAACAGTTAATATATGGCTAATACCTTATTGGTAGACACTGTGTCCAGATGAAAGTTGTATTTGAGAACATCAGTGTTTTCACTTACTGACTAAAGAATATGCTGATATTTATTTCCTAATAATTAAAAGTGAACTAATACAGTTTATCAATGTAAGGTTGCGGAAATTATTTGTTTTTTTTATTGAGATCATGAACCGATTGATGTTAGACCACCATTGAAAACCTGGAAGCACTGAACGGCCGTTTCGTCTTATTGTGCGCATCCCACTGGGTTCGAATCCTGCGAGCGGGATTATGGATGCGCACTGCTGAGGAGTTCCACAATAGGATGAAACGGCTGTCCAGTGATTCCAGATTTTAATGGTGCTCTAACATCAATCGGTTCATGATCTTAATCTAATAAAGTTTACAACATCGTTTGAATGTAATATACAACTCTATGAGCCTATTATCTCCTGGTATTTTATGAGTGCAATTCATCCTTTTTTTTTTAAATCATCTTTCAATGTCCAGTTTTACATACAAATTCAAAGTTGAATTCTTTTGACATTGTAAATTAGAAATTAAGGAACAAGTGCATTTATCATTGTATTTTTATTTCACTTTTGTAAACCTACTAAAATTAAAATATTATTCTGTTTGTCATACAATCATTCTGTCTAATAAATTTTACCATCAAGATAATAAATTTTATTTCCTGTTAGATAAAATCACTACTGTTATTTAATACAACAACAGTAGTTTATTTTAAGATTTAGTTATAAGAATTTCATTTTGTTTTATTGTATAGCATTGTATAAAAGACTTAGTAAGTGATCAATGAGTTACTTTAATTAACAAATATTACTTAATCTTAAGTTAATGATTAAAAATATCTTTATTAAGAAGATGAACTATATATTATTTCATCCTCTTAGAAACATAATTATGTGCAGTCATTTCTTAAATAGCTCTTATTAATAATTAAAAATGAATTGTAATATATTTCATGAAAAAGGTATATTGAGTAAATATAGTTGATGTGTGACGTTCAAATATTAAAAAAAGTGAATAGGAGTTAATTAGATAGGTTTCTTTAAGAAGTTTTTTATAGTTTTCTATTTTATAGTTAAAGAGCATTCATTTTTGTCTCTTGGTGATCTATTTTGCTTCTCATTTCATAAGGAATATTTATTAACATTATTTAATACTTCTATGTATTGAAATGGAAATTAAATGTTATCGGCTTAATACGAAAATTATCACAGAATCAAATTACACAATAAATCATTTAGCTAATAGGTAATATGCTGATATATGCTTCATACTTGAGACAATATTCTATATTTATGTTTTTTAATATTGGTACATTTTAAACGATAATTGAACAGTTTACATGTAGGAGACGTTAACAAATACTGTATGAATTATTTCACCATTGGGTATTCTTTATCAACTATAATTGTCTATCCATTTCAGGCGAGTGAAAATTATAGATTATTTCCAATTACAAGTCACTTTTATAAGTTATAATGTCAAAAATGAAGAGAAAAAATTTATCGTTATTATTTAAATGTGAACTATTTCCACATACAATTGGTGAATAACACTTCCTCCCTGGCCTTCTGTTTGTATCAAAAACCACATAGATTTCCACTGCAAATAAAAATGAGACACTGGACATGATTGTTAAATATTTTATTTTAGTTGAATACGTTGACTAAGTTCATTTTTATGTTTTCTTTACGTTTAGTTTTCTTAAGTAAAACGTTTACTTAGACAATATTATAACTTAATGCGTTAGTGTACTTAAATTATTCTATAGCCCTTGTCTATTCGATATCAGTTATTTTGTTTTATTAATAGTTATTGCTTTCAAAAATAGGCTATAAAATAATTCTACTGTGACTGTTTTTCATAGTTATAATCATATTTATTTAGTTACGTATTAAATATTTCGTAGATTTACAAACTTTTAATCCGGACAGTAGGACTAATGGGATGGTAAATAAAAAACCAAGGAAAGCCAACCCGATATCACTTAACTTTTTCTTATATTACTTTCTTTAAAATCACACGGATAACTTTGTGTTTATTCATCGAACTATACGCTTAACGTTACATAAATCCGAAGATATTCGTCATGTACTCAGGCATAACTATTAATCGAATACAGGATATTCACGTTTCTTGGTGATCACAAATATTTCATAAATTTTATAAGCAAACATGGATAGTGACTAGCAGTAGAATCGAGGAAGCGCCTTTCGTTGTATTTCGGACTCGTCAGCCTTATGTACATACATCCCAGAGTAAGCGTTCACTCATCGACTCAAACCCAGTCCGTTCACTACAAACATCATCGCGTTATCCACTTAGCTACTGAGTCTTGATAGCCATTAGCTTGGGCAACGGGGTGAAGTTTAAATTAATTTTTTTATTATTAGTTGCAGTCCTAAACATCAATAAGACGATTCAAATAAACAATATAAAATGAATTTTATAAATCTGTTATTGTTTTTGTAAAAAAAGCTGAAAACGAATGATTCATTTAAAAAATCTCTTGATAATACGGTATAAAGTAGTAATTATGTAACCTATAAAACGTTTTCCAAAGTTCGACCTCACCTTTAATAGGAAGTAATACTTTCATTCGAGTCATTCTTTCCGGATTTATTTAGAACGATTATATCGACTTCAGAAATTGGTAAACTTGTTTTATTCAATATTGGTTGAGTCATTATTTAATGTTCACAAGACTACAGATGATTTTTTTGCTTAACAGATACTTTATAAGATGCTACTGTTCAAATGTTTTGGAGAGTTCCTGTATTTTATAATGTTTGGTTATATTTATATCATACTATTAATACAACGTTTATCTAGTAGTGTGATGCAAATGTAAATGACATTAATTTTAATCACAATTGTTTCTTACATCAAGTATTGACAGTTTATCAACAAACTGTTATTAGCGTAAATTGTTTTGCTCATTTTGACATTCATAAACAATTTATTTTATCATATTTGCTCAATAGTACGTCTTATATTTCCCATCTGCGTATTATTCATCCAGTCATTATTACCCCTAGGCTTAATTATCACTTCTAAGTATCAGATAATAGTTTGAGAAAGATATGGTTCAGTTCTATCTATTGAAATTTTGAATGAACTAATTTTCCAATACTGGAGCATTCTCTACTGTTTCAATAACGTCTTGTTGGTAAATATAACGAAATAAGTATGTTTATTTGGATAGTAATTCGGGGATTTTCTGAAACTAGGTTTTATATTTGTTCGTACTCATTAGTAAAGCTCCGTAAGTCAGAGTCATAGTTTTATTATAAAATCATTCCAGCTTCAACAAATGGCACCAAGAACACAAATGTGTTATTAGAAAATAACTTATTGTATGCACCATCTAGTAAACTGAGGTAGCTAAATTCTGTCAGTCTGTTTTGTGACATTATTAGCTAACAGGAAAAACCTATCAAGAACAAGTTTTACGGTTCATTATCAATTAATCTAAATTATCCGACACTGTATACAGAAAACGTCTGACATGATTTTGGTTATTTATTTGAGTACAGTGAAAGTCTGACTGATAATACTAGATTACTATATGATAATCACTACTTTCCTGTGGCTAGTTAAAGCGTAGAATTCTCATTTATATCGAACATAATTTCATGCATTAACACTGGTGATATTATCAAAAAAACAACCTCAAAATATTCTCCAATAGCAATAAATCTTGGATAGATATCGGATACTTTCATTAGTGTGTAGGGTACAGTTATGTAACAGTACTTATTATATTGAGGGTTTCTTAATTCTAATTCTCGAAATATTTCCTGACTTTTTACTTTTTTCAGAAATTAGGATAAAAGTGGATCTAGGTTTCAAATATTTGAGATTCATTGAGGTTTAATGAGACCAACCTGTCGTACCCAATTTCTGTTGTGATTTGTTTCAACTATGAAATCAGTTCAAGTGACAATCGTAACGAGGAAAGATAATTGTGTTCAACATGATAACTTATTGCTGTTATATATAATCAGTAAATGTTCACAACTACTATAGTAATGAATTGAGTCTTCATTTCTCTTTTCTTTTAAAAGCAGATACGTTATCATCCAAACCTTTAAATAGTTCTGATCAAAATCCTATTAAAACTTCTACAAATCAGTTGCCTAATAAATTAATTCGACACACTCAGGTGACAAAAAATCCTATAGCTTCAGATGTTTGCATATTACCGTCATTTTGTTGGAACACTGACCATGTTCTGTACTGGTTACGTGAATATGTTTGCTTACCTGGTGGATGTTTGGAAGCTGCTAGTCGACTTCGTTTAGATGGTAAACAATTAACAAGTGTATTCGACAGAAAGATTGAAAAACAGTTACATCTTAAGTAAGCGGTTTTCTTTTCATGTTATTCAGGCAACTTTATAAACATTTGTAATATACATAGCTTTTTTTAGTCTTTAATTTTAGTCAGTCTATGATATTATAGTAAACTGTTTTTTCTGTCTGAGGATAGATGTTATATAGTAGCTCTCCTACTATGAATTTCGACTATGGTTAATTCTTGTTAAGCTCTTTTATTAACTTAAGTAACAGATAATATTATCCAAACAGTAACAGTTCGTTTATTTTGCTGTACTATTATAATCACCATCTAATCTGTACAAACGTGTACTCTTAATCATATGACAACCTAAGCACATCTCTCTAGCTTAAATGTTGACAGCTTGAATATCATTCGATGAATCATTCTCTTCCCCATGTGTATATGTACTCGAATCCTATTGATAGTCATTGCCTTGCTGTGCTTTTATTCTATTTGACTATAAGCTCTACTATGCTCCAAATTCTGTCGATGTGCTTGTAGTCTTGTGATATGTGCTATCCTCTAATAAACAGTAGTTGCCGCTTCTTATTGCCTTCATATTTCAAATGCCGTGGGATTTATATGATGACGGTTATTAAGGTGATTGATTAACGGAGCTAAGCCACTACAAAAATGTGAGTTGGTTTACATACCTTCTCCATCGCGTGTCATTTTGCTTCGCTCTGTCTCTCTGATTGTTTGTTCTGATCAACGATTGTATGAAATACACGTATTCGAAATTCATTCTCGTATTTGACTTATTTAATTTCGTTGTGCACTAACGCGAGTTAATTCGATGATAATACACGAAAACAGTCAGGACATATATTTCTACAGAAATCATTCGATAACGATCATTTGTCCGGTCCAAATGGAGTCAGATAAAAGGCCACCAAAATGTTTCGATTACTACAAATGAACTCAGTTTGCCAAAAAATATTCAATCACGTGAATTAAAAATCCACCTAGTTCATTCATTAGTTTAAAGTTTAATTTAACGAACTTTATCAGAATCTTTGATATATTCCATCTGTAGTGCACAGATGTTTCTATAAGTTTAGTTCTGTTAGGACAGGTAACTTGATAATGTTTAGACTGCAACGATCATCTCTTTTAGCATGAAAATCTCATCATGTATGATGAGTTAGCAAATTTATAATATTAAGGAATGAAGCAAGATGGTGATGTGAACTGCTTAGTGTTTATATGTATCTTCATGAAGTTATAAACTCGCTTGGGATGATGCTTTGCTAATAGTTTCAAGACGTCAAGTTCGTTGGTATTCCCCTGAAGCACTTAGGGTTCGTCGACTCATCGTTTGATTATTTTTTAAATCTATTTTTTTGTTTTCATCGTTTACAATGTCTTGTGGTGTTGACTTAATAACTAAAGCACTTGGTTTTTAATCACCGACTATGTGGTTTGAACTACATCTACCTTTATTTTTCTGCTGCTTCGGTCTGGGCACCCGGGCAGTATCACAGCCCTCACACATATCAAATGAGATCTGTGTGGCGCATATGTATTTGGTGCCTCCTTGTACCTATATCTATGTGTTAAAATAAATAATAAATAAATAATTTTTCTAGTATCTTCGGCTATGGAGTAACATGTTATACAGTACCTCATTCAATAAACTTAACTTGATTAGTGGACTGCCTCGGTATGGACTTAAAATGTTTTGACAAAATTAGCAGAGAGGTGCTGTTCATGTTAAATAAAGTCTTTGTATATTGAAAAGCCAATAACTAGTGAATACTTACTTACTTACTTACGCCTGTTACGCTTAGTGGAGCATAGGCCGCCAACCATGATTCTCCAGACAACTCTGTCCTGAAATCTTCTAAGTCGTTTACAAGCGCTATTCATTTTTTCGATGTCTCCCCCATATTCCCTGCGCAATATGTATTTTGATCTGCTTCTTTTTTGCCTTTAGGTGAGTATTTAAACATTTAAAAATTAGGCTCAGTTCCAAAAAGACCGTGATTCAGTGGCATTTAATACTCTTTATATCTTATTTCTAACGAAAGTATGGAGGCTTATTAAGTGTTTATACATTTAAGTTATATATTAGATAGCTATATTGTTATTATACTGAATCCAATTATAAGGACGTCGATATCCAGGTAGAATTCTTATGTTCAAGTTTTGTCTTTACAAATCAGTTGCTGCTTTTAACCTTTCGTTTATGATTAACAAAAGTAGTAAACACACATGAGATATTATAATATGTAGTAACTGTCATGTAATAACCACGGTTTATACTTCAGGTACTTTTCATAGTTCTAGAGAATTGCTTAAGTCAGCCTCACTATGCTTGTTTGGCTCAACAAACAAGTTTTAACGTTTTGCACACTTCTAATCAGTTGCTTGTTACCAGTTAGAAAAAAGAACATTATTGACTAAGTTATATTTGCTTTTTCTAACTGATATCAAGAACTGATCTCGGTTACATGACCACTGGAAACTAGGAAGCACTGGGTAGCTGTTTTGTCCTTGTGTGAGTTACAGCTGTGCGAATCCAAAACCTTGAAGAGGAGCAAACTCAAAACCTTTAGATCTCGTGGCACACGCCTAACTTTTAGTTCACTGAGCCGGCATCCAGTAGTTGACATGTTTAGTTTCAATTAATTTAATCCGATTACACAATACATTATTAAATATATGTATTGACGTTTTTGTTTGGACAAAACATTGTGGATCTTACTGCTACCGATTGTTATAAATTTGCATTCATCTAATATATATAATAAACTTGCAGGTGAGTTTTTTAGTCATCCATGTACATACTTATTCTTATTCAATGAGTAAATAATATAAAGGTAGGGTCTACCAGGGACCAACTTAGGATACATGACCTTCCAGAGGTCAAGCTGGAAGTCTAACACAAAACTTTCAGGCCACATGATGAAATCACTTAATTTACAGTTTGAGTCATCGCCTGTAGCTCCTCTAGAGTTACTGCCGGTGCGAAGCCTGGGTAAAGGACGAGGGTTGGGCATGGAGTTAGCGACCCCATCCCTTAGGAAACTAACTCGCTAAAAAAACGCTAACCAGAAAAAATAACTCAAACCATTTAAACTCTGCCCTGGGAGTTAGAAGGTCTTCATCTAAAGGAAATATGACGCCTCAAGTTGAAGGCCGAGTTCCTTCGGTAGCCATGAGACCGATGCCCCTTCTAACAACCAGAGTAACAATTTTTATAGGTACATGGAACGTCCGGGCAATGTGGGGGAACGGAAAGACCAGTCAAATAGCAACGGAAATGAGATACAACTTGGCAGAACTGAGAATCAGCGAAACCCACAGATCTTCCTGTAGATGTTAATCCAACTACGACGGAAGAAATCAGAATGGCCATCAGACCAATCAAGGGCGGGAAAGCAGCAGGACCCGACAATATACCAGCTGAAGCACCGAAGTCAGACATCGAAATAACTAAAAATATGCTTCATCTTCTATTCAAGAAAATTTGACAGGAGGAACAAGTGCCGATGGACTAGAAAGAAGGACACTTCATCAAGATTCCAAAGAAAGGTGATCTTAGCAAATGCGAACACTACAGAGTCATTACACTACTGTCAATACTAGGAAAAGTCTTTAAAAGTGTTGCTAAACCGGATGAAGGAAGCAGTAGACGCTCAACTTCGAGATCAACAAGCTGGATTTCGTAAGGAACAGTCGTGCACAGACCAGATTGCGACACTACAGATCATCATCGAACAATCAGTGGAGTGGAACTCGTCACTGTACATCAACTTCATTGATTATGAAAACGCATTTGACAGTGTAGATAGGAGAACGTTCTGGAAACTTCTTCGACACTACGGAGTTCCTGAGAAGATTGTCAACATTATCCGGAACTCATACGACGGACTACAGTGCAAAGTAGTGAATGGAGGACAGCTGACAGATGCATTTCAAGTAAGGACTGGAGTCAGACAAGACTGTCTACTCTCTCCCTTCCTCTTTCTTCTGATGAAGACCTCTACATCTGAGGGACAACACGGCATACAATGGACAGCTCAGAACCAAGTAGACACTTTGGACTTTGCAGATGACATAGCCTTCCTATCGCATACACACGAACAAATGCAGACAAAGACAACCAGCGTAGCAGCAGTCTCTGCATCAGTAGGCCTCAAAATACACAAAGAGAAAACCAAGGTCCTCAAACACAACACAGAGAACAGCAATCCTATCACTGTTGATGGCGAAAATCTGGAAGATGTGGAGTCCTTCACATACCTGGGAAGTATCGTCGATAAACAAGGAGGGTCAGATGCAGACGTAAAGGCGAGGAGTGGCAAAGCAAAGGCCGCATTCTTACAATTGAAGAACATATGGGACTCGAAACAACTTTCAACCAATATCAAAGTCACAATCTTCAATACCATCGTCAAGACAGTTCTACTGTACCGAGCTGAAACTTGGAAAACTACTACAACCACCATCAAGAAGGTACACGTCTACGCAAGATACTCAACATCCACTGGCCGGGACCATCAGGCCAGCCTTCTGTGGGAGAAAACAAACCAGCTTTCAGCTGAAGAGGAAATTGGGAAAATACGATGGAAATGGATAGGACATACATTAAGGAAATCACCAAACTGCATCACGAGACAAGACCTAACTTGGAATCCTGAAGGGAAGCGGAAAAGAGAAAGGCCAAAGAACACATTACGTCGGGAAATAGAAGCGGATATGAAAAGGATGAATAAGAACTGGAAAGAGCTGGAAAGGATTGCCCAGGACAGGGTTGGATGGAGAATGCTGGTGAGCAGCCTATGCTCTTTCGCGAGGAGTAACAGACGTAAGTAAGTAATTGAGTCATCTTTTACTGTCAGTAATATCTTCATCATGTCTAATATGATTGCAACCTCTTGATTTCGAGGTTACACACTCATTGCGAATCTTACAGGTCCTAGGTTTGATACACTTGATGTTTTTTATGCAAGGATTCCAGAGAAACTTCATACTATAATCAAGAGTCTACCTAATGCTTACTGATTTTAGATGAT